AAAACTATCTTTTGCGTATAACAAAGTCAAGTGAGAAAATTTTGTAAAGAAGAAAAACTAGTGGGCCCCATAATCTTTGATTGCTCCACAAATTTATTTTCACACTTATTGCTCCACAAATTTATTTTCACACTTTACAAAATACCCTCACTTGACTTTGTCAGACGTACAAGTCTAATGACTAAAACTATCTTTTGCGTATAACAAAGTCAAGTGAGAAAATTTTGTAAAGAAGAAAAACTAGTGGGCCCCATAATCTTTGATTGCTCCACAAATTTATTTTCACACTTTCTCTTGTTTCTTCTTCTATAACTCCATGTTTTGAATAGTTAAACTTTTCTAGCCTTTTCTTCCCAAGAAGGAATTATGGCAAAAGATAGTTGCTTACACTTCGGCGGTGCCAGTGACAGATTGTCACAATGACAACGCAGTGACAACTTATTAAATTATTATATTACTATAAAGTAATGTCTTTTCACTTCATTTTTATAGTAATAAATAAGTAGGGTTCTCAATTTGAATTCTATGTTCAAAGGATAAAAAATATTCTAAAAATATAAGAAATGCTAATGACAGAATCTCCTTTAAGCCAACAAAACATATTCTAAAAACATCTAAACTTAAAACAACATTTAGCTCTTTTCTTCTTTGAAAGCATCTTTTGTTCCTTCAAGACTTGTTATTCTCCATCTAGGTCTATACAAATCAGTCAAAGAAGAACTATGCTCAACAGTCAACACGTCCCCAAATGGATGGCTAAGTGGTTGAAGCATAAGAGTAATACCAGGAGATTCAGGTTCAAATCCTAGCAACAACTTACGTAGCTCCTAAGAGAATTTCGCTAACTTTAAACTCAACTTAATGTTTGAGTGGCTCTCCTATTTTGATGAGTTACACGTATATGTATGTTATGGGTTATGCAGATTAAGAAAATGAATTTTTAATATAATGAGGGGAGCTACCGGATCCATTTTTCATGACCAATAAGATTGGAGTTCTTATAACAGGTTGAGTAAATAGATGTCAATTTATAGGATGGAAGACCCAGAGTCTTAAATAGTACTTTTAAGTGATAATTAAGCTCATTATATATTCTGAAATAGGCAGCTGCAGTTAAGATTATTGGAGAGAAATTGGAATGATAAAATGGGTCAGAATCCATATGATTAGAATGATGCCTAGAGGGTGATTGGGAATAATTGCAAAAGGAGAACATCCAAGATTTTTTTGGCTTTGTCTAAGAGAACGTACAACATGCATGTATATTGTTGCCCCACTATCCATTACTTGGCTTTAAAAATTGTTACTTTATGTATTATATAAAAAGGATAAATAGGACAATTCCAAAAAATTCAAGGACGGCTCAAATGAGTCATTTTTAGTCCTTTAAAATTAAATTCCAAATTCCTTTTTTGGGTCATGTTGGAGAAACCCCGCAGTTATATGTTGTTCCAACTCTTTTGCAGTGTCGAAATGGGGGAAGATAACACAACTTCTATGAACAAAAAATCAGGAAATGAAAAAATCACTATTAGCTCTTCTTTGAGGTAACTCATATAATTTCTTTGTGAGTTTTACTACTATTGATATATTGATATATAAGTAGTTATATCTAATGTTTAAGATAAAATATTGAGTTTAGACGGTGATTCTGAGTAAAGAAAACACCATTGGATTAAAGTATTACACAAACCTATAAAACCTGAGATTTGAATCAAGAGGATGATGAATAGTGTTTTCAAAATTTAGAGATGAATTGTTTCAAAATAATGTACGCTCACTCGTCCCCTTGAACATACAAATACATAGTCAAATTCATTTCAATATACTTGAGATCATTCTTTAATTCAAAAGCCTTAAAGTGGAGTGAGTCTCAGCACGCTCAACCCTTCCAATACCTGAAACAATGTCGAATGTCTCCAACGACAATCAATCGACAAAAATTCTTGCTTACTTAAAATCAACTTAACTCATTTGGGTTCATCCCTTGGCTATAAGTCCTTTAAAACTCAACTTCTTCATTTTCGACACGAGTCACTCCATAAATCTATTTAATACTCCCTCCGTTTCAATTTATGTGAACCCATTTGACTGGGCACAGAGTTTAAGAAAAGAGAGAAGACTTTTAAACTCGTGGTGTAAAATGAGGCACATATATTTTGTGTGGCTATAAATCATTGCATAAAGGTAAATTGTTTCTAAATAGGGAAAGTGGTCATTCTTTTTGGCACGGACTAAAAAAGAAATAGGTTCACATAAATTGAAACGGAGGGAGTAGTATTTATCCATTCATTTGAGTCGTTAATATCATTAAACAACTCATATCTAAATTTTGGAAACACTATTCATCATCTTTTTATTCAAACTTTAACTTCGAAGACCCAAGTTTCATAAGTTTGTGTAATACTTCAATCTAATGGTATTTTCTACTCAAAATCATCTGTAAACTGAATCTTCATCTTAAACTTTACATATAATTATTCATATTTCAAATAATAATAAAAAACACAAAAAACATTATATACGCTACTTCAAAGAAGCAATAATGATGATTTTCCATTTGCTGATTTGGCAAAACCTTTGCTCGATTCAAGCTCTATTATATTCCCCCCCAAGCCACCATTTTGACATTGCAAAGAAAGAGTTGGAGCAGCACCTAACTACTGCATTTCTCTCCAACCAAGTGACCCAAAGGAGAGATTTGGGGTTCCAATTTTAAAGGACTAGAATGACCCCTTTCGACCGTCCTTGAATTCCCTAGAGTCCCACTTATCCTTCTCTATATAACACATAATGTAACAATTTCAAGTAAAGGATAGTGGGCCAGCAATATAAATATATATGCTTTTTGTACGTTTTTAGACAAAGACCAAGTAAGTTTGGAATTTTCTTCCTTTATGGACACTAAATAGAGCTCCTTTCCCAGCCATCACTTGTATAATCCTTCAGACTTTGACCAATAATTTATATATGCCCATTATAATTAGTATTTTGTAGGCTCATGGCTACCACATAAGAAAAATTGAGCATATGTTGTGTTCAAAATTCTTTGACCAAGGCAAAAGTTTAGTTTTTCTTTTGCACTCAAAGAGATCTTTTAAGACACCCTTAGGTCTAGCAGTCACGCCATTATGGGTCTTGTCCCATGAATTCAATATATGTCGAATTAATATTTAATCCCTTTTGAACCTCAATTTCTCCTTTGAACAAAGCTTCAGTACAGTGTTTGTATTTATCCTCGAGTCGTTGCATAAAGTGTCATTTATCACTACTATTTGACGTCTTAAGCACAAGTTTAAAAATTTACCTATAGCTACTTATTATCGTAGAGTTCCATTTCTCAATTGGTGAATCAATTGGTGTATCCATATACACATATATACACATAACATTAAAATAATAATCACCCCACCTTATGTGGGTTCCTACGCATCCTGGGAGTACCTTAAACTCATCATTAGGCACATAATTAACCCAAATAAATATTTAAAAGCTACAGAGCTTTACGGTGTGAGCCTATCTCTTTCATCCTTGGTGGACAAGTTTACCATACTCCCGTGTCTATCCATCAAGGCAATGACCGAGCTTGGATTCAATCGAACCCGCTTTGCCGAAAAATTACACCGTATAAAAACCAATTTTTTTTTGTAATACATAAAAACTATTAAGGAAGCAGCCTCTCTATCCTTACAAGGTAGGGGTAAGGTCTGCGTAGATGCTACCCTCCCCAAACCCCCACAGTGTGGGATAATACCCTTGACATAGGTTCATACATTAGGTCTTACGTTTTATACATTCTTTTTTGGAATTCCCTTACTAAATTCCTGGCATCGCTACTGCATCGAGGTGCACTCAAGCTGATTCGGAACACCATCGTTCTCCTTACGATAAAAAAAAAAAATACTCAACACCAATTTAACTATGGGATATGTAAATTCATCATGAATCCCTTCGCACACCCGCACCCCCAACCACAAAACAATTAAAGAAGAACATTTAAATTTAGGTCTATCACAGCCTGATTTAATCATTTTATTAAGAAGTAGGATTAACATATTAAATCTACTGATCTACATAAAAAAAATATCATGCCCAAAAAAGAATCTTAAAGGAAAATGAAAAAATAGAGGTAAAGATAGAAACTTTACTTTACAAATGGGGCATACGACTTTGAGACCAACGGCTCGGGCTTCAAGTTGAGACCCTTTTGATTTCTGATTCTTCTCCGCATTTTTTTTCTGTGCTTCGATCTTCTGCTTCCCCCTTGTCATCTCTCTCTCCGTCTGCTGTTGTGAGAATCGAGAGAAACGTATTTATTTTGAATTTATTTGTGGAGCATTTTTTAATATTATACTATTCTTTTTTAATAATATGGATTAAAAGAAATATTTTTAACATGCAATTGTTTTTTTTACTAAAAACGATTGTTCATACATGGATTTTTGACCGAGACAATAGGTATTAATAGTTTGGTGTGATTGGTTATTTTAAGAAATATATACTATAGTTATTGTATTATGTATATGATCGTCTCGATATTTCTTTAATGTCAATATATTTTGATTAATTTTGATATTTTTTAAAATCACGTAAAATCACATTGTTATTAGGATATCTTATCACATTGTTATTAGGATATCTTATTTGATAAGTAAAATAATAGCTACATATTTTAGTGTTTTAGATTGGTTTGTACCTAAAGAAAATCAAACAAACTAAGTTGAATTTTAATAAAATATTTAAGACGAATCAAATTATTTTAACTAATGAGTTTGGAATAACTAATATTTATAAAAAAAAAAGAAAGAAAAGAGAAACCAATTACTATTATTATTCTAACAAACCAGCAACTCGTGGTTTCACAGCTGTGTTGTGTACAAGCACAAGCGTCGGTCGCTCGTGTGGAGAGGTCAGACTCACACGTGCGAACCCACTTCCACTGTCATTGGCTCACACTGATACCCCACTTTTAGTTCCCATCATCTCACTCTCTATTTTCTCTCTCTAAAAACCATTTGTGTTTCTCAATCTCAAATCTACAAATAGCGAATAATTAGCAAAGCAAAGAGAAGCTTTTAGAGAGAGAGGAAAAAAACCAATTTCTTTTTCTCTTTCTCTCTTTGTTGTGTTTTTTTCTTTTTGGTTCTTTCTATTTCTGTACTACACTTCCAACTTTACAGCTCACAACACTTACATTTCTCTCTCTCTCTCTCACACACACACACACACACACTCTCTCTCTCTTTATGTGTTTTGTGCTGAAATGAGCCAAGGATACTCACTTGTAGATCGAATCTAAGATTGTTTTCACAGGTACTACTGGCTCTGTTTATTTGCTTCGATATTTCTGTTAAATTTATTTTTTAATTTTTTTAAGTTGTACTGTGTGCATCAACAGTTGCACATTCTTTTGGGGTTTGATATTTGTAGGTTCTTTTGTATTTTTATTTATTTAGTGGAATTGGATGTTGTACTGAGTTCTTCAGCAGTTGTACATTGTTCTGCTTGCATACTTATAAAAGAAGAAGAAAAAGTTTGGTTTCAATTTTTTCCTGGTGGGGAGTTGGAATAGAGCTAATAAAGCTTCAGAATTTCACTATTATAACACTTTGAAATGTTAAGTATGAGTTAGAAGGGTTTCTCTTTTCTGAAATTAATGGAAGTGAGGGATTTAAAGAAGGTAACTTTAGTGCACAAGTGTGGATCAGACAACTATTTAGTTTATGAAGTGGCCAGCAGCGATAGCTGAATGAATTGCTTTGAGAATTATCTCTGGTTTTGTTACTCCATTTATTTAAAAATTATGTTTTTCCCCTTCAGTTCAACACTTGAAATGTTTCCTTGATCATAACGGGATGTTTGTGACTTTGTGTTTTGCCAGGGAACATTCCTTATCTTTTTCTGCTGCCTTATTTGTGGTGTCATCAACTTGTCAACTGTATGTCCAAAGGAGGCGCAGCGCAGCTTTGTGTATCAGATGATTTTTAGTAACATTATTATGCTTGACCAGTGCCGAGATGGGCAGCTTCTATCTGAAATTGCAGGAGCTGTTGCTTTTAAGCGTACTGTTATTTTTCATTGTTGTAGAAGTTGCACAAGCTCTCAGTCCTGATGGTATAGTTATTACTCTTGTCTTCGGTTTCCTGCCTCGGTTGTTCATGTTGTTTATAGTCTAGGTTCTAAGTCGTAATATGATACTCTTTCCGTTTCAATTTATGCGACACACTTCCCTTATTAGTCTGTTCCAAAAAGAATGATACATTTATATATTTGGAAACAATATTTTAACTTTAAACTTTCCATTTTACTCATTTTACCCTTAATGAGAAGTTTTTATAGCAAGATAAATTGAAAGCCTCACTAGAGCTTTACCCTTTAAGATTTTAAGACCACAAGTTTAAAAGTCTTCCTTTTTTCCCTTAAACTCTATGCCAAGTCAAACTGCGTCACATAAAATGAAAGTATGTGAATATCGGAGTTTGTGATAATTTATGGCATACTTGATGAAGATGATATATGATTTCCAGTTCTCTGGTTGAGTTTCTTATTCAATGAGTGTTACTTGTAAAAATTTCAGTGGAAGTTTTGTGAGGCGAATTCCCATTTAAACTTGTTTACGATATTCTTCTGGTAATAGAAATAAGATTTTGCCAAGCCTTTAGTTCTTATACGAATAAGTTGGTTTTTCAGTTGTTTAAAATCGAAAGAGCATAGTCAATATGTTATGGAACTATAAGGTGCCTCAGCTTTGACATTGTTACCCATCCCATCTTGTAAGCATTACAGGTAAATCCATAAATGACGTAGTTTTCTATGTTTACAGGTCAAGCACTTGTTAATTTTAGGACCGCAATACCAAGTTCAGACGGTGTTCTTACGCATTGGAGACCAGAAGATGCTGATCCATGTGGCTGGAAAGGCGTGAAGTGTGACCTGAAGTCTAAGAGAGTTATATCCTTGTAAGTATCTGTTGAAATATTATTGAAATCATCTGTAATTGTGGTGATATTGTCTTGGCTCTAGCTATTGGGCAAATTAAATATTTTGGAAACAAATGTGTTTATCTGCATTGGTAGGATATCATGTGCTAGTAACTCCATTAGTTCTTTATCTCTGTTAATTTTGACTGCTATAGGGGGTTATGTAGATTCTATCTCGCTATAGGATTTTTGTTATCTTGTAGAACTGATGTTCTTGTTCCGAAAATGAATATAGTGCTGAATTTGAGATTTGGATTTTCTTTATCTTGCTTTTTTACTGCACTTTTTGGTAGGTATCTTGCTTCTGCACTGGGCTGACGTTTTAACAACCATTTGATTGCTATACTTGTCAAATGCTGACCTCATTATCTTCACGCCAATATTTCTTATGAACATTTCCACAATGCGAATTTTAAATGATTTTTACTTAAAAAATTGCCAAAGTTGAATATTTTAAGTAGCCAATTCCTTCCCAGGGCTTCTAACACTGTTTGAACTGTGTACAGCTATTGAAGTTGCAAAGACTTGTGGAAAAGCTAAAGGATATTTTGTAACTCCACATGTTGTTTTCCTTTACATCATCTCAATTAATTCTCTTCAAATGAACGGCGGATCATACAAGAAGCCTAGTAGTTTCCCTTTAAAAGAACACCAACTGTCTTGTCAACAGAATAGAAGAAGAATGAGTAACCATCATTGGGAGTTTGTCAACATATGAGAGAAGTCTATTCTTTATATATATCTGAAAAAAGATCCTTATAATGTTTATTGGGGAAAGTATAGCTTTCTGAACTAGAATGTTCGAAATTCAGCTTGGTTTTGGGTAGGTGTTAAATCATCTTTGGGTTCATCTGCTGTAGTTGAAAACATGTTGTTGCATAGTGTACCTAGTTGAAGCTTGTGGTGAGATAGCAATGTCTTGGTTGAATACATCTGGACCTCTTATTCTTCTCTGTCCAACTTTGGATAGGTGTAGAGGAACCACACCTATCCATCCTGAACTTGGTGGTTAAACTCTACTGTGGTGACAAATACTGTATGGGAGTTCCTAGGAAATAATAAAGGAAAAATCAACAATCAACAAGCCCAACATAATTTCAAACAAAATTACTCAAGTTATTGACTAAGTTGGCTCAATGTCATATCATATTCTGTAGTTTCAGTCCATGTGTGTTATCCTGTTTGGTGGTATCCTTATTGCAGAATTCTGGATTATCTCCAAACTGAGAAGTTATTTTGATTTTATCTTTCAATTCTCCTTAGGAAAAAAAGTTATTTTGATTTCCTATAGTGGCTTATTCTGAAGTACCTTCAGTTGCTTTCCTTGTGGTTTGACATTATTAATCGTAATGTCGTCTTGCAGATTCTTTTACCTTTCTCTCAGATACTTCTGGCCATTTAAGCTGGAAGTTAATACATTTAATTTTCAAGATAATTCTATTTAACTTGCCATTCCTTCTTCTGAAGGAGCTTCATTTGCTTTCATTGTGCATTGACATTATTAATTGCAGATTCATTTTACCTCTCTTCTCTGCTACTCCTTGCCATTTAAGTAGAAAGTTAATAGATTTAATTTTCATCAAACTTTTATTTCACTTGCCATTCCAAATGTTGCTAATTGCATTCGGAAGTTTATCTCATTTGAACTGCTAAAGGTGATTGTTGTCTTGAATCATCCAGGATCCTCTCCAATCACAAGCTAAGTGGACCTATTTCATCAGATATTGGGAAGCTAGACAGTTTGCAGATTCTGTATGTTTCCCTTCCTGTTCTCTTATACGTTGATTTTAGTATTTCTACATTAACATGTATGAAAATGCAGAGCTCTTCATGGGAACAACCTCTATGGGAGTATACCCCCTGAATTAGGAAATTGTACAGGGCTGAAATCTTTGTAAGTGTGCAATGTAGTTGTTTGATGTAACCTGCATATTTATTTATCATCTATCGAGATTCTGAAGTTTATCACTATTAAGCACTTGGATGAAAAGGAGGATCCCAACTTGTTTACATGATATACTGCATTTGATAGGCTTGTCTGAAAATTAGATAGGGCCTATTATGAGTCTATGAGAGATTGGAGGTATGTTGAACCCAAAATATTGAAAGGCAATTGAAAAAGGAAAGGACTTGATGTTGCATGTGCAGTGTTGTGAAGAGCGTGAAGCGAGGAAAAGCGACAAGCCCCTTTTTGCTTAAAGCGAGAAGCGAAGCGCTCTCTTTTTTGAAGTGAAGCGGAATTTTAAAAAAAATATTAAAATAAATACTGCATAGACAATGAAGAAGAAGAGGAGAATGATAATAAAATAAATACTGAAAAAGGTTACCCAACCAAAAACTCAAGGGGGGTTGGGAATCAAAGATCTAGCAGCACACAATAAAAGCATGATGATGAAGTGGTTGTGGAGATACAATATGGAGGATTCTGGGTTCTGGAAAGTTGTCATCAAAGCCAAGCATGGAGAAATGAATCACTGGTGTTCAAAAGTCTCAAGTGCTCCATACGGTGTGGGATTATGGAAAGGCATCAACAAATTATGGAGTACTTTTGCTCAGAACATCCACTTTGAAGTTGGGAATGGTACATACATCAGATTCTGGAAGGATAAATGGCTTGGAAACTCTACCCTCCAAGTTGCATTCCCTAACTTGTTCACCATAGTCCAAGATCCTAATGCGGTTATTGCTGCATACAGGGAAGGAGTCAATTGGGACTTGAAGTTCAGAAGGGACATGCATGATTGGGAAATAAACGAGCTGCTAGACCTTTATGCAAGACTACAACAAAGCACTGTTACCTCCCAAGCTGTGGATAGACTTAAATGGGGGAATCATGGTGGAGGCATCTACACAGTCAAGGTGGGATATCAACAGATGTGTTCTAGTAATCCCATGATAGATAACTGGCCCTGGAAACTTATTTGGAGAATCAAGCTGTCACTAAAGGTTATCTGTTACACCAGGAAAGTATTATATGAGGTATGCCTCACACAAGATAACCTAATGAAAAGGAACTTCCAGTTTCCTAACAGATGCTACATGTGTCAAAAGAAAGCTAAAAGTACCTGCCACTTGCTCCTACACTGTGAGGTGGCTTCAGACATATGGTACATGTTTTTTTGACTTTTTGGTCTCAAATGGGTCATCCCTTACACAGTCAAGGACGCTTATAAGAGCTGGAGTTTATAGAGAGTTGATGAAGCCATCAGGAAATCTGGTCAATGGTCCCTGCTTGTATTTTCTGGTGCATTTGGACAGAGAGAAACAAGAGATGTTTTGATGGAAACTCAACTCCTATAGGTTCTTTAAAGGCTATGTGTATTGCCAATTTGTTTTGTTGGTCTAGACAGTACCCTATCAGTAATATTGATCATCTTTTGGATTTCATTAGCTCCTTAGCTCTGGCTTAGCCTATTATGTATAGGAGCCGGAATATTTTTGTAAGCTCAAATGCCAAATCATGTACTTCTTGCATCTTCTTGATGCCATCTATTGAAATCACTTACTTTATCAAAAAAAAATAAAAAAATACTGCATAGACAACTAAGAATAAATGATATGAAAAAAATGACACTAAGTATGCCAAAAAATGGCAGTATAACTGAAACGAAAAATGGGCAGCATTTCGCTGCAATTTATCACTGAAACAGTGAAAGAAAATGAAGAATAAGAGGAGAATAAGAAAAAGAACTGAAGGGGAAAAAAAATTTCACTAGCATTTCGCTGCTATTTGGACACTGAAACAGTGAAAGAAAAAGAAGAGGAGAATGACAATAAAATATTTTTTTTTATTTTAAAAAAAATATTAAAATAAATACTGCATAGACAATGAAGAAGAAGAAGAGGAGAATGACAATAAAATAAATACTGCATAGACAACTAAGAATAAATGATATGAAAAAATGGCAGTAAGTATGCCAAAAAATGGCAGTATAACTGAAACGAAAAAATGGGCAGCATTTCGCTGCAACTTATCACTGAAACAGTGAAAGAAAATGAAGAAGAAGAGGAGAATGAGAAAAAGAAGAATTGAAGGGGAAAAAAAAAATTCGCTAGCATTTCGCTGTTATTTGGATACTGAAATAGTGAAAGAAAAAGAAAAAGAAGAAGATGAGGAGGAGGAGGAGGACCAAACTTTGATGATCTTGAAGTTAAAAAAAAGAGAGCCTTTTTAATTAATTAACATTTGGCAGCCCAGTTATAAAGAGAAGCGCTCCCTTCTGTCGCTTTGTTCACTTCCTCGCTTCTCGCTTTTTCAGGGGAAGCGATCGCTTTTGTGTACCTGATACGCTTCAGATCAGAGAAGCGCCACCAGATGCCTCGCTTCGCATCGCTTCTCGCTTTAAGCGAGGAAACGGTCGCTTTTAACAACACTGGGTTGTGTAATAGCTTAATATACTGTTACTTTTTTATTAGAAGAACTAAATTCTACTTAAAATATGTTCTAGGATTGCTCAAAATGACTATTGTGTTTGGCTACTCTGCAATGCTTGAATGTCCATGTATAATTAGATGGTTAAGGAGTAGCCTCTTTTCCCTTGTTTCTTTTGGTGCACCCATGAAGTTCCTTGTCATATGGGTGTATTTCGTAGAGAAACATAGCTTTTCTATTTTTTGGTATACTTCTTGTATACGGGTGCTTTTGTTTTGGCCCATTCATTAATGAAAATTTGCTAACTTGACTAAAAAAAATTAGATGATTAAAATTAAACATGACAACTTCAATCTATAAAAATATTGAGCGCTTCAACTGAAGAAGGCATACAATTTTCAACAATACTAGATTATATGGTCTTTGGTATAAGTACTAACCTTGATGTTAAAAATCTGAAGCCGTTGTTTCAGTTCTGATATGCTCACGAAAATTCAAGGGATTATTTCTTTTGCATTTGCATACATTTTGCTCTAAATCTTTATCAGTATACTGCCGACTAATTTCAGGCACTTCCAATCTCTTTAATGCAGATTTCTGCAGGGCAATTATTTAAGCGGATCGATCCCCGATGAGTTGGGGAACCTTTCTAAGCTTGAGAACCTGTAAGCTTCTTTTTCTAAGCATGCCCAAAAACATTAGTCAAATCAACTTTATAAAGTGGGAGCTTGTAAAAAAACTCTCCTTCATCTATTCTTAATTTCAACATTTTATATTAGTATTGGATAGTACTTCCTTCCTTTCATTTTATGTGGCACTTTTATTGGGCTCAGAGTTCAAGCATAAAAGGTACATTTGGATCTTCTGGTTTTAAACGCTCAATGACATTTATATAAAAGTATGTCATTAAGTAGTTGAGGTGTATTTGGATAGCTAGCTGTGATAGCTCAGCTATTTTTCTGTATTTCCCATTTGGTGATTAATAAGAAAAGTTAGTTACCAAAATAAAAGCATGTCATTAAGGGTAAAATGAGAAGTTTAAAATTAAACTGTTCTCATATATATTAAGGTGTAGTTTTTTTTGGAACAGACTAAAAGGTAAAGAGTGCAACATAAAATGGAATATCTAGATTTGATGAGAAAACATAGCAGGTCAGGCATCTTGTACAAATTGGACATTGAGAACATACGACCATGTCCATTGTGCTTTCTTAATTATTCTCAAGGATATGGGTTGTGGAGATAAGTGGGACAGATAGGACAATTTTTCATCACAAAAGTAGGACTTCAGTTTTGGTCCATGATCTTAGTCTCCGAGGAAAGGGACAGGAAACTTGATTTAGCTATCCAAAAAATATCAAGACAAAGAAAAGTATTCCTTTCGCCTTGAGTTTTCATTGTTTTAGAAAGTGCTCAGTTCATAAACTTATTGCTGGAAATCAATAAACTTACCCTTTATTTATCACAATAAAGGTGCTCAGTGTATTGTTGACTTGTTGCACTTCTATTAGACATTATATGGTATGAGCTATGTCAAACGATAATAATCAAACTTACTTAGTGCCCTAACAGTTTAACCAAATTGATGTAGAAACGATCTCTAATTCTTTTTTTAATCATTTTGGGAACTTTTATTTATCTGTTGCATATTGTATGTTATGACTTATGAGCTGTCTCAATTGGCATAAGATAACAATCGAACTTAGTGCTCCTACAGCTTAACCCAGTTGATGCTGGTTTATTAACTTTGGCAGAGATCTTTCAAGCAACTCGCTCAGCGGAAACATCCCTGCATCACTTGGGAAGCTGACAAATCTTGCCTCTTTGTGAGTGCCCTAGAAATTATTTATCTTAACTATGAGTCTAGATCTTCTTTAGGTGGGGTGTTTGGCAACTCATATTAATGTTCTCATATATAATGTTTACAGCAATGTATCAACTAATTTTCTGGTTGGGCAAATACCTAGTGATGGGCGCCTTGCCAACTTTGGAAATGAATCGTAAGTCCCAACGTTCTAAGTTCCTTCATGCTGAGTTGATTTTAATTGTCAAAGCTTCTAGATCTGTTCTTCTTGATCATTCTTTTCCTGATGAAACGCTGCCTGATCATCTATTTAGTAGATACCATAATAGTACCTGTATATGCTGTTGTTTATCTTTGTTTTCTAAAGTTTCTAATTCTTTTTATTGGTAAGACCTGTTTAAATACTCTCTGCATTGGTTTTTCTATTATCTTAAGCATGTTACTTTTATCAAATACCAGTATCTTGCTTTACTTTCCAACTATTTGTATTCAAAATACATAGAAGGAAATTGTAGTCAATGCTCAGGTAATCTTGAGGACTTTGGTGACCAGTTCATTCTTCTTACATCTGATCCATCAGTTCTGAAGGTCCATGACTGACTGGCAAGTGAATAGTAGGGGTAGCATTTAGTGTAGACCCTGTTCTTTATTTCATGTGCATAGAATGACCACCTTGATATGAATTATGACCTTACAATGGTAATTGACAACTTAAGCACTTGTCACTTTGTTAATACATCATTTTCCAATTTTTAACTTATGACAGCTTTCTCGGAAATCGTAAATTGTGCGGCCATCAAGTTAATGTGGTGTGCGATGCCGGAGGTCCTACATCATTTTCTCAGCCCCCCATTTCAGGTAAATATTATATGTGAGATGGTTCGTTATAAAATTGTCGTTAGATATTAAGTTGACTTGCTTGTTACCATTCTCAAAAAAAAGATATTAAGTTGACTTCATGTTTTATCTGTAAGAGGCCATAAACCTGTATCTACATAGATGTTGTTTTCTCATATGGTCAAGGGTACCTTCTAGTGTTTTTGCTGCTGAAATATCAGAACTCATCTTTCTGTTATTCCTATGTCAAGAAAAGCAGCACACATCATTACTATTTAACCCTCATCTGCATAACATTGTACATTCAAAATAGCAGTTTTTCTCCTTAAATTTTGAGTTTTATCTAGGTTATATTTTTGTATACCCACTCTCACCTGAAATTGACTGAAATATTTAAGAGAACATTGCTTAGGAATATTCTCCTCCCTGTACCAAGACAAAACCTTGTACTTCAAATGGTTGAATCAGATAATTTATATGTGCTTGTAGTATTATGTATGTATATAATGTGTGAAGAGCATTACATTATGGCTGCTCGCATGGGTGTGGCCTAGTGGTCTGGGAGGAGAACCATGTGGTCTCAGGTTTAAATCCTAGCGGAGGCAAAATATTACTAGGTGATTTCTTTTAATCTGCTTAAGATTGGTGGGAGGTAGTAGGTACCCGATGGAATAGTCGAGGATTTAAACTCAGGTTTAAATCCTAGCGGAGGCAAAATATTACTAGGTGATTTCTTTTAATCTGCTTAAGATTGGTGGGAGGTAGTAGGTACCCGATGGAATAGTCGAGGTGCACACGCTGATCTCCGAACACTTCCGTCAATGAAAATAAGAGCATTACATTATAGCTTGATTATTTTTCTTATACCTGTGCTTCAAGCATTAAGTAGGTGTGTGATTTGTTGAGTGTATAACTTTATGACATGTTCAGTTGAATCTGTATCTCGTCTTTTCCTTCTCTACTCTTCCTAGTTTCCTTTTTTTGTTGTGTTTCATGGTAACATCTGATCCGCAATCTTTTCAGCCGAAAACCAAAATAAGAAGAAGTATTCTGGTCGACTACTCATAAGTGCCTCTGCAACTGTTGGGGCACTGCTACTGGTGGCGCTGATGTGTTTCTGGGGCTGTTTCCTCTACAAGAGACTGGGTAAAAATGACGGCAGAGGCCTTGCAGTGGATGTTGGTGCAGGTCCTGAACCCGTGCAGAAACTACTATTTTGATGTTCTTATTATTTGTTTCGTCCTTTTTAGTTCCTTACATCAAATCCTTTTGTTTAGTTATCGAAATTCTTAATCCTTTAGGTGCATCCATTGTGATGTTTCATGGAGATTTGCCTTACTCTTCGAAAGATATCATCAAAAAGTTGGAGGCTTTGAATGAAGAACACATAATTGGTTCTGGGGGATTTGGTACCGTTTACAAGCTTGCAATGGACGATGGCAATGTGTTTGCTTTAAAAAGAATTGTTAAGATGAATGAGGGATTTGATAGATTTTTTGAAAGAGAGCTTGAAATTCTCGGAAGCATTAAACACCGTTATCTGGTTAATTTGCGAGGATATTGCAATTCTCCAACATCAAAGTTGTTGATATATGACTTCTTATCCGGAGGTAGCTTAGATGAAGTTCTGCATGGTAAGATATTCTTCCGCTTTTAATTATTGCTGCTTATGGTAGGTGAGGATGTCCGCTTATTTATGAATTTAGCATGTACACTGGTGTTCAGTGGAAATACTTTGGACATTTTGCCTCATTTTCGCTGCAGTCTTGAGTAATCATAGCGGAATGCTGTTGGCGTCTTCCATGTGCTGCTCTTCATTCTACATTAGGTTATGCTGCTTGATGACAATTAAATATCACTACCACTAGCAATCCAATATATCATTTTGTTATAAGACAATCTAATATATTGTCTCCATAAAATTAGAAATATTGAGTTGAGCTAAAGTAGCAAGTTGGCATTTGAATAGTGGAAAGTAGCGGACACTTAGATGATAGAGTCCTGCTCAATTCTCTCAGGCTGTGATAGGTCTGAAACTTGTGTCTGGAGCTTTCTTTGCTATATACTCTTTTTTTTCTATTTGACAAATTTATTCCCAAAAACTGAAAGGAATAGACAGGGTGAAGCAGTCTAATGTGGAGATAATAGAGTTTAAATTGCATATCATAATGTTGCTATAGAACATTGAATATAGAACGTCAAATGGTGTGGTTTTGCCTTCAGAAGGCAGCCAGCTTGCAGCCGTGTTTGAGTTGGTATATAAAATAGGCACAACAAAAAGGGACTCAAGACATGACAATATAGTTGAGGTTAGCCAATTATATACCATACTAATCAAAATTAAAGAGTAATACGTTGCAAGTCTTCAGAAAAAAACACAAAATATATGTTAACGTAGTATAGTGGCTTCAAAAGAATGACTCATCACAATTAAAAAAAATGTGCTAACTCAATTTCAACCTCGCATTCTTGTGTGAGAAGTGGAAGCCAACGTGAATACCTGAATGTAAGTGTCAATGACATTCTGCAAATGGTTGTTTTGCTGTTAAAAATCAAAAAGAAAAGTGAAAAAAGATGAATAGCCTAAGCACGATCTTCTGACTTGTTAACTTGCTCTTGCTGTTGAGGATTTTCTGTAGTTGCTCTAGCGAATGTTAGAGTCCTGAATTAAAAAGGCTTTCCCAGTTATACATGAAACTTTTTTTTAATGTTTCTATACAGAGAGATCTGAACAACTAGACTGGGATGCACGGTTGACTATTATAATGGGAGCTGCAAAAGGGCTGGCATATTTACATCATGATTGCTCCCCTAGAATAATACACCGAGACATAAAGTCTAGTAACATTTTGCTTGATGGAAATTTCGAGGCTCGGGTATCTGATTTTGGACTGGCCAAGTTGTTGGAGGATGAGGAGTCTCACATCACAACCATTGTGGCTGGCACATTTGGCTATTTGGCTCCAGGTACACACATGCTTTAACATATATGTTCTTCAAATTTTGGACACTTGTAAACATTTCGTAACTCCAAAGTATGAAGAAATAATTCATGTTTAATTCATGTTTATTGTAACTGTGAGAGTGTTGTCTGGTTTTCCTCTGTTTGTAATCAATAATCATGTTTCAACTCTTCTTTTAAGTACACGACTGTCAGTAGTTTTTCCTCTTTTCATACTTGCTTTCCTTTGTCTCAACTAGAAAATATGAAGTTTAGTTTAATAACAGAGGGACTGAGAGGAAAAATTTTCAATTGTGGAAGCTTCTTATTTTGGTCTTTCGAAGGCACAGTATGAAATCCTTATCAAAAAAAAAAAACCAAAGAAGACGCAGTATGAAATATTGCTTTTTGATGCAATCAGTGTCTTGCTGCATCAGTTTGTATTAAGTAAGCTCTTTTTTATTTCCTACAATAAAAGCAGATGTGTAAGAGCTTGGATCAAAGATTGGTTATTCTTAATGAACCTAGTTCTCGTAGCCATGTATGGAGATGCCTAGTACTGTACTCTGTTTGGTAAATGTTATTTTCTAATCTGTTGCACATTTTCCGTTGTTTATGCGACCTGTTGGTTTTGCTTTATTTTCCAGAGTACATGCAGAGTGGTAGAGCTACAGAAAAGACTGATGTTTATAGTTTTGGAGTTCTGGTTCTTGAAGTAGTAAGTGGGAAGCGGCCCACTGATGCAACATTCATTGAGAAGGGCCTCAACATTGTTGGCTGGGTATGTAATGCCACTAATTTCTTCTTGCCTGAGTTTATTCAAATTTATGGTCTCTTTCTTCTTATTCCTGACATTCCATTGATTGATTAGGCTAACTTGTAGTCTTTAAAATCTATAATTTTATGACAATCTACTGTCAAGGTAAATGTTATTTGGAGTTGAAAGATAAATACTTTAGAAATGTTATTTAATAGGTGAAATAATAGATGGGATGTCTCCACTTTGATGCAAGTTGTGCAACTGAAACTCATCTTTCTAGAAACGAAAGGTTCTGAGTACAGGAAAGGAGTATGATATTATTATAGCTTGAATCACCATGCTACTCATTATTTGAACACTATGAACCACAAATCAGAGATGTAATTTCTCCACATGTATAGAGATTGTAGCTGTTAAACTTAATTCTGGAACTCACTCTAGTATAGATATTTTGGCTCCAGTGGCTAGAAGGGCAGTTGTTGATATGTGAAAATACATGAGGATGAGCAACGAGCATAATGAAATATTGAGGTCAGATATACACTAGAGAGATGATCTATGCAGTTTGCTCAAAAATTTGTATGGCAGATATGGGTTAAGTTTTTCTTTTCTTTAATTTCTTTATAGGTTGGAAGTAGTGCTTGAAGCACAAAACTATGTTGTTGACGAGAAAACAAAAATTAAGTCTTCGAAATAAGCAACTGCCAGTCTAGCAGATGACCCAAATGCAAGTGCTAATCAATTTAAAGACTGAATTTCTGGTTTTCGTGCTAATCAAATCATGTGAAGTGAAAACCATATCGGAGCTTCCACTATATATTTATTTTCCATTTATGTTACACGTTTCTAGTTTCTGCATATCAAAAGCAAACAAGAAGAGTTGCCTATTGCTGAATGGGCAACGGCCCCTCCCCCTAAAGGAAAAAAGGAAGTTTACAACTTGACGTATTCTATCCAAGGCCAGTGGGACCTTCTGTTCATAAACCTGACTTTCTGAGTTATCGTATTGATCTTAAATCTTATATCCATAATGCAGTTGAATTTTCTAGCTACTGAGAGTAGACAACGGGAGATAGTTGATCCACATTGTGAACGGGTACAGACGGAAAGCTTGGATGCCCTGCTTTCAGTTGCCACACAATGCGTCTCTTCGAATCCTGAGGAGAGGCCCACAATGCACAGAGTTGTACAGATTCTTGAATCTGAAGTCATGACACCTTGCCCCAGTGACTTCTATGATTCAAACTCCGATTGAAGGTTGTAGCTAAAATTAGAAGAGAATTTAATGTGGAGTGTGTCTGCTGCGTCATGCAACAATACTGAAGAATGGTACCAGCATAGTCTGGGGATCAAGATCTGCAACAATTAGCAGTCTACTCTGTTTATTCATTCTTTCTGCAGATTTACCACAAGAGAAAAAGGCCTTCTCAAAACCTGAGTTGCCAGTTAGTCACTGCGGCATTCAGTGTGCTTAGTTGTATTTTTTTATGTTTCAATTATTTTTCTCCCCTGGTTTCAAGCTTTTCTTACCCCCCCCCCCCGGTTGTATGGGGTACCAGTGTTATGGGTAATCGAATCCCTCTTTTCTTGTTGTATCTTCCCTTTGCCTTTTTTGTAGCCTTTCTTGAAAATTTTATTTGTATATGAAATGATTAAATTGATTTGACATCAACCTTGTGCTAGATTGATCTCATCTCATTTTGTATATTGTAATTCACCAGAATAATTGATATATGGGTTGGCTGAAAGTTATGCTTTCTCAGTATACTTTTGTATTTGGTATTCGGGGGGCGGCTCAAAGGGGAGCTAATAAAGCCTTTGCTTTTATTTTGGGGCCTCAAAAATTTTAATAGTAAATTTATGATTTTATTATTAATTAGACAATATCATAATTTGTAGAAAAAGAGATACAAAGTCATTGTAAAACTATTAGAAAAAAAAAGAAGGAAGATTGCATGTTTTTTAATAGTAGAGTTGGAACTTTGAATTGATAAATAAAGTTTTTTACCACAAGATCTAAGGTAATGTATTCCAAACTTGTGGATAATATCTTACTCTCTAAGAATTATATCTTACCAATATAAATAATAATATTAATATAAAACGCATGTTAAGATCTTGAAAGTTTTATGTCTTTTTAGAATATTACACTCATGATTTCAAGAAGAAGAAAGAGCGATTGAATCACGGAATCTGCTTCAAATGAATGTGACAAGATTTGGTGGATGATGTCTAGTACTAGTTATTTCTCTGTAGCAAGTGCCAAAAAATTTAGGTCCAAAAGAAATTCATATACCTTTCATCATCTTCACTGAGCCGTGGTGCTTCTTCTTCTTCTTCTCCATTTCCCGCATCCCGTTTTCGTTTAGACATGTTTTGCTAGTAATGAGAGGTGGACGAGAAAATGATCGAATGGTCCTGAATGTATAAGGGTTGGACTGTTTTGGGGGAAGTGCACAGATAGCCACTGATTAGAGATGTCTTCACTTTTTAGCCACTGTTTTAAATGTATTTATTCTTTGGCCAGTGCTTAATAAATTTTTACCCGCCGGACAAAAATACCCCTGTGCTAGCCATATGTGTTGTGTAAATATTTAGGACAAAGTGTCCTGTATTTGCACCTTTTGCTGCTAAACTTTAGGACATCATGTCGTTAACTTCATATGTGCAGTGTAAATATTTAGGACATGGTGTCCTTAACTTCATTTGTGCAATGTAAATGTTAAGGACATAATATCATTAACTTGTATTTGCAACTTCTGTTGTTAAACTTTAGGACATCATGTCCTTAACTTCATATGTATAGTGTAAATGTTAAGGACATGGTGTCCTTAACTTCATGTATACAATGTAAATGTTAAAGATATCATGTCCTTAACTTCATATGTGCTGTGTAAATGTTAAGGACATCATGTCCTTAACTTCATATGTGCTGTGTAAATATTAAGGACGTGACGTCCTTAACTTCATGTGTTCATTGTAAATGTTAAGGACATAATGTCCTTAACTTCATGAGTGATGTGTAAATATTAAGGACAAAGTGTCCTATATTTGCGCCTTCTGCTGATAAACTTTAGGACATCATGTCCTTAACCTCATATGTGTAGTGTAAATGTTAAGGACATTGTGTCCTTAACTTCATGTGTGTAATGTAAATGTTAAGGACATAATATCATTAACTTGTATTTGCAACTTCTGTTGTTAAACTTTAGGACACCATGTCCTTAACTTCATATGTGCATTGTAAATGTTAAGGACATGGTGTCCTTAACTTCATGTGTGCAATGTAAATGTTAAGGACATAGTGTCCTTAATATTTTACATATCACTCATGAAGTTAAGGACACCATATCCTTAATATTTACACATCATTCATGAAGAAAGGGTAAAAAAGATTTTTCGTATCAATTTTAATAAAGTAGTGACTATTTTTGCTCAACATTAAAACTACTGGCTAAAAAGTAAATACCACTTTAAAAAGTGGTTATACCACGCTATTTCTACACTGTTTTGGTTCTTAATGTATACCACTTAACATAAATAGTCCTCAATGTATACAAAAAGTGGACACTTTTAATCTCTAGCACTAAAACTAACGGTGGAGGTCAAAATCTCAGTTAAATTTAACCATACTTGTCAGATTTAACACAAAATTCACGGCTAAATAAACTTGTCATGCCGAACGGCAACAACTAGCCTCATCCTTAGGAAAATGAGTAAACAATATACTTATAGTTAATTAAAGAAATATTAGAAAATTGTTACTCATAAAAACCTAAAATTGTATGGAAAACTGTTACTCATAAAAACCTTACTTTGGAGTTTACTCAAAACACTTTGTGTGCTATCCTTCTTGAAATCAATGTATCTCCTTTAAAAAAATAAAAAATGACTGCCTGAGAATATAACCCAAAATAAAATTCTTCCTAATTAGCCAAACTCAGAAGAAAGAGATTCAAACAAAAGGAAGAAGAAAAAAAGAAGAAGCAAACATCCAGCAGTATTTGTCACTTAATGTTAAGAAGTCATTTCCAATATTCATCGAACATCCATTTAATCAAACATTGAAGAAACAATATTTTCAAATCTTCATAAATGGAAACAGAGTTTCACTGCAGAAATGTTGACATAAGCTTGAAAATGATATCCAGGACGCCTTTGAATCCGAGAGACGAAGTCAAAGAGGAGATAATCGACTTCTTGAATGTATTTGTGTGTGTATATATATACACACACTACATGATCTTTGCCCATGCTCTTCATGGGCCCAACAATTTGCAGTCTAAAGTTGTCGTTATTTGTAACAAAAGATTATAAATCATACTCATTCTCTAACAATTTACGGTCTAAAGTGATGGTCAATTATAACCTCTATTTTAAAAGGCGTTTATGGGGCGAGCTCCGGGGCGATGGCGTGGGGCGAAAGTCTCAAGAGGCATACGCCCCTTAATTTGGGACGTACACCCGGGCGTTCGGGCACATTTTTTTAATAAGGAGTAAGCCCTAGAGACTTTTTCAAATTAAAACAAAATTTGTTGAATTAGTCCTTCATATAATACTCAAATTCTCAAAAGTCAGTTTGGTAATTACTCAAAAGGTTTAAAAAGGAACTCAAAAGTATTAAATTTAAAAGTAAAAATCTTTTTTTATTGATTTAAGCCCTAATTCATAGTTTTTCCAATTTTTTATCTTATCCGCTAGTCTCCTAATATCTCCCAAAAATAACGAATATTTAATTTTTTTTACAAATATAAAGTGAACTACCTCCTTCTTCATAGCAGCAAATTCAAAGTTCAAATTGCAGGTTAATCATCCTTTTTGTTCCTCCATATAGAAAACTTTATTCTTTGACTCAAATTACTTGTGCTTGTAAATAACGTATAATAGATTATTTTGATTAATATTTTGTGGGGATGTAGCACACATATATATAGTTTTCTTCAATTTTTATGCAATTTTACCTATTTATAAATATTTACTGTCATTATATTATTTTATAAAATATTAAAAACTAAACACCTGTGGGACGCCTCGGGGCTTACGCCCCTCTAAGGCATATGTAAAACACCTCGCCTTACGCCCACGCCTTTTAAAACACTGATTATAACAAAAAATAATCATATTCTGTGATATGAATCCCTTAAAATTTTAAATTATTGGGTAAAGACAGATTTGAGAGCCTTTCAAATTGTCTTATTGGTAAACAGAAGAATAATGGAATAAGATAAGAAATAAAGAAAGATAGATAAGAAATTAAGAAAAATTTCTCTTGTATGCAACCTTAAAGGAGTTCATTACTCAAATGGTCACTCAACTATCCCAAATTATCTGCTAAGTCACTTTTTTTCTTTTGTAATAACAAAGTCACTTGACTATGCCTATAGCACTCATAAGGTCACTCAATTAGATTTTTTAAAATTTGAATTGTCACATACCTATTTCACTCTCTAAATTATAAATATTTATCTTCTTTTTATTTTATTTTTAACTTTTTAATATTATGATTTCCCCCTTTTTATTTATAAATTAACAACAAAAATTTAAAAAATTATTTACACAATTGAGAATGAAAGAAAATACAGGTTGTAAAATATATATTCCATGCACGTAATATAAAAATAATTATTTAAATAAAGGTATGTTTATCATATATACTATTATATATGGTTGAAAATTATGCTCAAGTATATTATTATTCTGTCATTATATGAGTTGAAAATTAATTTTTTATTTTTTCTTTTATAAATAATTTTTCTATAGGTAAGTCCACAATGTAGATTAAAAAGAGAAAAAACATATAATATTTAAAAAATTCAAATAAATTGATAATTTAGAGGGTACAATAGGTATTTGACAATCAAAAATTTGAAAAATCTAGTTGAGTGACCTTCTAAGTGCTATATGCATAGTTAAGTGATTTTGTTGTTACAAACGAAAGAAAAATGACTTTAGCATATAATTTGAAATAGTTGAATCACCATTTGAATAATGTACTCAACCTTAAAGCTTTGAAATAATAGAGGCAAAAACAACACAAGTATCTCACCTTACTATACTGAACCATAAATGTAAACCAATACCACAACAAATAGAAGACAAAAGAGGATACAACATCATTTGTTTTATTTATTAAATCATGTCTACAAAATTATTGCTCTAACTTTTGATTGCATCAATAATTCAAGGGATTTGTTTTGCCCCTATTGATAGGATAACAAAGTCGGAAAAATGAGGTAAAAAGACTTTTGAAGTCTTATGTAAGAATATAGGACATTTGGTTAACAAAAAATGTGTAATTAAAGGGATTTGGGGGTCAAATTAAAAATAATAAAAATTGTGGATAAATATTAAAATTTTCAAAACTTTTAAAAAATCATACTCATTCAAATTATTTCAAATTTTCATTTCCCTCTCATTTCTCCTATTTACTTCTTTCTTCTTTCTTCTTTCTTCTTTCTTCTTTCTCATTCTCTCATTCTTCTCCTTACGTTCTTCTTTCTCTTCAACTTTCGTTGTTGCTGTTGCTGGTTCGTCCCTGCCATCTTCTTCATTTTGTCTTTTCCCTCTTCATCTTATTTTCATCTTCTTCTTCTTTTTTAAGTTTTTTTTTCTTCTAGTGATTTAAAATATACGAGAAAAAGAGAAAAATATAAAATTTTACAAAGTAAGTATTTTACAAAATAGCCTCGAGATATTTTGAGACATCCCCCATAAATGAGTATTCTGCTGAAACATCCACGGGATATTTGAAACATCCTCGGGTTG